CAAAAAATTTTCTAAATGTTGACACTTTTTAAACTGAGAGGAAATTTTACTAAATTTTTATTTTATTATACATACTGCAATATTATATGAATAAACAATTAGCCACGAGTTTTCAAAAAGCTTTGCTATTTTTCAATTAAATGTAGTGACAATGTGTGGTTATAAAGTGAATGGAGGCTTCAGATCTACGTTGGATTTTCATTTTCACAAAGCTTGACTCTCAATGATGTATCAAGCCAATTAAGTAATGCCTTCATATTCAGTTGCAGATAATTCCAGGGCTCTTCAAGAACTGAAAAGTGATTGTTAATATCTAGAATCATGGCCTCTAAATTAAACTATTGCTAGTGTATCCTACTGAAAAGAATTCTTGAAAAAATCAGAGATCCTGAAACAGGATTTTGCACAATGTACACATAGAGGCTTAACAAGACTAAATTGCTCCCAAGCCTTCCTTTCGCTACATGCTACCACTGTGAGCACATAGGGGATGTAATTTTGTTAAGCAAAGAAAAGGTGGAAGGAAAGCAGAATCTTATTCTTTCATGAAAATGAATCTCATGCTTCTTATTTGGAAACTGTCACTACCAAGACAGAGATATTCGACTTCATAAACAGGCATTGGCATTCATTTAAGTCCATTTACACTGTATTAAATCATGAAACTCTCCTGGAATATTTTTTATTCTGGCACATTTACTACTTGCCCAGAGACAGTAGCTTTTACCTTGAAAACACATTTAGATGCTTTTAAAAGTCAATCTTAATCTTAAAACTATTATAATAATTTACACTTCTTATCTGTTAATACTATCTGAAATCATTTTACCCGATAGTAAATCTGAAGGTGTAAGAGTCATTTGAAAATAGTTACTTGAAGTTCACTTCCTGAGCAACCATAGATTTTTGAAGGCATTTTATTCTCAATGTCCCAAAACTAGTCTACACAACTACCAAAACTATAAAGAAAATAATACACATGAAAATGCTTTTGTTCAAGGAGGTCACATGTAAAGTTTAAAGAAAATTATTCACAGTCCTCTTTGTTCAAATATCTGCTAATATGTATATGTTGACCTTTCAGTTTATTGGGGGGAGGTGAATATTTGCAAAAATCTTTTGCGATGCAAATTATAAGTATTAATGACTACCTAGCACCTACTTTAAAGAAACTTTTTTTTAATGTGATGACTACAAGTGTAAAGGGATTCTCTTTTTAACTTCAACTCAAAGGTGAAAAAATAATAATATATTATTAATAATAATATTAATAATAATATATTATTTTTCTTTGGGAATTTAAGCCAAATTACATACACAAAAGTACTGTTCATGTTGTGACCCAATAATGAAAATAAAAATGCTGAATAAAATATTAGTGGGTCCATTCACGCCACTCTGTACTGTCATTTCCAGGGAAACTAATCTCCCATAATGGTATCTTTAGGAGTGTACCAATGCTAAAACAAAAATTCATTTTCAGGTTTCTAGGTTCTCTAGTTGAGTGCAAGGATCAAATATTAATTTACAAGGTTAACTGGACTATCTGACAGCATTTTAGGGAATGATTCAAAAGTGACCATCAGTGTATAATGTACAAGGAAACTACCACAAATCACCATGGAATTACAGGATTGAGCTATTCAACTCATCACCTTCGAACTGGCATTATATAAGAAAAAATTTGCAAAGATGTGCTTCTCAGGACTTTCCTCACTTAGAAAGACCATTTAGTGCATTTGCAGGGGTTTATTCTTTGACCCTAATATGTTAATCAACTTATAATTTTTGAAGGGTCTTTTGAAGGGTCATAAAGAGCACAAATAATTACTGTATAATCATCTGTTGCTCTTCAAGGGCTAAATCCAAACAGAAAAGATTATTTTTTTCAAATGCTGACACAATTTACACACTGCAACTTCAAACACAAGAATTTTGTGAAGAATAAACTCATATTCTTCCCTAATGAAGCAAAAAAGGGTAATCTTTTAAGCTCAAGACTACCAGTTTTATGTGAAACTGGTTTCAAAACAGTATATATTAATGGAATTTTTGCTAAAATTCAAATAAGTGGAAGGCATACTGCCAAATGCATAAACTAAAAAATGGTTGTATATTTGGATGCATTTTAATAGAACCTTGCTGGTATAAGAACATGGAATTTGGGCACATGATACTTTAACAATTAAAAAAACATGTTTGCGGGCACAATCATAGCTGTCCTAGATCTGATTATTTTTACTTTAGTTTAGTAGGTTATCTTTCAATCAAAACAGGCTGGCCTTGTGTCATGGTGGGTAAAGCTACAGCTTGTAACGCTAGCACTTCAAATGAGCACTGGTTCATGTCCCTGTTACTCTGCTTTTGATTCAGCTCTCTGCCAACGGCCTGGGAAAGGCAATAAAAAACAGGCCAAATACTTGAGCTCCTACTACCCTTGTGGGACACATGCAGGAGGTTTCCTGCACCTGATTCAACACAGCCATTGCAGTTAGCTGAGGGGTGAATCAAATTGGCAGGTAGAAGATTTTCTTTTTCTGTCTTTCAAATAAATAAATAAATAAATAAGTACTCCTTCACTTTCAATTTTCTTTGACTAAACTAGACATCAGCCAAAAGTAGAACAGTTTTGAATTTAAAGAACAGCTTACTAACAGAATGCTACTAATAATGCATAGATATTGTGAAATAAAAGAATATTCTGTTTAAAAGAATAGGTACCTTGTAGTTGATACCAAGTTTTTCACACTGCATCTTTTTTTTTTCTTTTTTTCTTTTCTTCCCTTTTTCTTTTTGCAATTTTTAGATTTCTGGGGGAAAAAAACCGCTTTTCTCTGGAAATATGATGATGTATGTTCTAGGGTACTTTTTGTTTTTTAAAATACTAACTCCTTAGATTAAGAAATGACTCTTCATTTACATAAAAGTATTCCCATGCATTATCCTAATAAGCAGAATGAGATAATATTGATTCTTATGGGATCTACTATAATCCTACAGAAATATAACTACTAAAGACAAATATTTTGAAGTTGGTTGGGGGCAATGGAGGCTCTTGTTTGGTGATGTTATCTACAGAAAGACAGTCAAGCTAGAGCATTCCCATCAGTGATACCCTTTTGCAACATGTACGGATTACCACTTTTGAGAAAATGTTAAATGTCAATTTTGAAATTATTTGCAATAAGGGGAACACATGCTTGGACTGTTTAAAGAAAGCATGTAGTTTTCAGATATTAGTCCATAATGACATAAAGCTTTTGAGAGAATACCACAAACAACTTGCTTTTTTGGGGAAGGTTTGGATTCCCAATAAACCAAAGGAAACTTGAGAGTACCACCAGAATTTTGCCTTTCAGTGTAAAAGCTATTCTGAAAAATGTGGAATCTGCATCTACAATATTAAAATAGTCCCTTCATCCTTAATATTTCTCATATGTTTTTGAAATTCTTGGTACTTAGGGATGCTTTTAGTTTTATGTGTGAAAACCTGCACTAACTGAGAAGTACTTAAGGCAAGTATAATGATCACAAATTTTTAGCCAGTACAACATATAGACAGATTATTAATTTCTTTCAATTATAGTGTTTATAAATTCTTTATTGATCCCTAAGAAAAGGGTGGACTTGTGTGTTTTGAAGACTTGGGGTTCTGTGTTACACACACAATTCTTTAAAAATATAGTGTTGGTGTGATATAAAACATTTCAAAAATACTAGTTATTTGAAAACTTGGCACATCTTTTTTTCTAAAACTGCAATACAGAGCAGACAGGTTAAACATAGTCTATAAGTGACAAACTTTCAGAATATGACTATCAGTTCACATTGTAATAGAGTAAAATTTGATTGTCGATAAAAACGAGTCTGCATAATAAAAAAATTAAAAACAGTGATTCTAGGTGTTACTAGCCCTGAAGTTTCATTACGGGAAGATAACACATTTATGATTTTGTTTACAGATTTGCTAACAGCATATTTGTTATAGGGAGTAGATGTTAAGGTATGTGTTGAACAGATCCAATTGAAGATAAATTATAAGATTATGCAAAAGCTGAAGTGAGGAGGCACTTGAGTGGCATGTTACAAACTGATCTTTGGTAAAGGCAAAATGAAAAAAAAATTTGTTGACTAATAATGAAAATATTATCAACTGATAAGACTGAATGTTTCTGACATATTAGGGTATAGGCCTAATGTGTCATAAAAATGGTATATCACATGGCTAAATACTTCTGCCTATGCTTTCCTGTTTCCAGTTAGTATATTTTACATAGATTGCAATATAAAGCTTTAATATTCAGAGGTGTTCATTTTCACTCTTACTATTGAAGAGGAGACAGAAAAAAAGTGCACAACTGGCCACAGCACTGTTTGTACAGCTGGAGTGGTATTTTTCAGATTTACAAATAAGCCAAGTGAATTATTTTGCAGACTATAAAATATAATGTGGAGTGGTTCAAAGAAACATTTTTCTGTTTTTTCTTTAAACTACATCAGGAATTTGTATGCCACCCAGTTTAACTTAGAATAAAATAAGTGTTTTCATGCCCAAAGCAATGTTTTCCCAATCTATTTTCTTTGAAAGTAGGCATCTTTGAAATCACTAGTGAATTCAAAAGTGAAGTGAGCATAACAAAGAAATTGGATTACTATAAAAATTGTGGCACTTGTATTTGCTCTATCTCTGGAAATTGCAATATAAGTATTCTTTTATATCTTAGTCAAAGATACATGGATGCTGCATATTTGCAACAGCAAATGCAAAAATCAAAAATCTTAAGTAGTCAGCAATTATTAAAATTATTTCAAGTGATCCATACAGATAACTTGATCTACACAATTCACAGGTTTACTGTATTTACTATCATCATTTAAGTTATAACAATGGAAAACAGATGGTACCTCACGCAAAAAATAGGTCTTTAATTGTACAGAATTTGGAAACTTGCTTTTAAGAGGAGTTTAAGTAAAGCAAAGCTTCTATTGTATTTGTAATTTTACACCATGTTGTGTGGTATACAAAAGTGCATTGGGTAATATGGCTGAAAAAAAATAGGTGGTGGCCCAGATGTTACATAGTAAGTACGATACCCTCTTTCAAGAGCTAAGTATGGAGCAGGCTGATAGAAACAAGTTACATTGTCTGTGCTGGGTAAAATATTCTGCTCTCCCAGCACTTTTAAAGCCATAAGAGTGATCATATTGAGTGTCTGCCTTCTTTCATGTCCCATGAGACAAACAGTGCTATCACTCACAACTCCATGCAAAGTCATAAGGTAGTTGTACTTGCTCTTTTCTTCACCTATGAAGTGGTTGCGGAGGTATGATTCAATTTTCTTTTGTTGTTCTACTACATCAGGAAAATCAATGAAGAATCTAGAACACATATAACGTTCCAGGACCTTGATTTCTGTTTCACACGCTGGCTTGAAATCACGAACCAGTAAGTTGCTATACTTCAGAAGGCCACCTCCTCTAATCTCTTCAGGTTTTCTGGTAGATATAAGCTTGTATCGCAAATGTGTCATTGCTTCTTGAAAGTCTCCGTACATGCTTTCAGCCACTACAACTGGGTAGGATTCTTTGTTGAGCTTGGCATTTTTGTCACAATAGAAGTCCAACATAGTATCTAAAACTATTTGAAAGGAATCTACACTAAATTCAAATTGGCGTCTGAGTGAATTCACAAATTTTAGCTCTACATTCTTACCAGTGTTATTTGAGAGAGAGATGAGACTCCACCGATCACTCTGATCACAAACTTTAACCATCTTCTGCACGTAAGCATCTCTCATGGTCTTAGAGGTGATCTTTTCCTTTTTCACACCTTTTGGTAAAAAGTCAAGTAGACAGCCCAGAACTGTATCCTTAATAATCTGAAATTCTTGATCACTTGGAAGTTCAACACCAAAAATAATGTCCAGATCCTTATAGGTGATTCCATTATGGCTTGCAAGTACGTAACTTGCTGTGGAACCATTTAACCGTGTATCTTTGACAATAATTCCTTGTTCTATGAGTTCATTTTTCACAACATGAATGACATCTTTTGGTTTCACCTCCAGTGTGGGAAAATTCCCTCTTCCATGAACCGGAGTTACTCCATCCAAAACTTGGTGCAGTGTTTTGATTTGATCCCAAGTAAGATTGCTGAATCTGATTTCAGACATTGTGAAGTCAGTAGACCAACTAGAGAGCAAACAAAATATTGAGAAACATTTTAGCTTATAAAAACCAACTCATACCTAAAGCAAATAAATGGTCAGAAACAGATTTATTATCAGCGTAAGTCATGTTAACATTAGGAAGCAAATTTCAAATTATTATATTATGTTTAAAATTAAAAGTGAAATAAAATCCGTAATTACCAAAATATTTAGATTTATTGGTTACGGAAAACAAATGCAGGAGCTATAACTACTGTTGATATGAAATGATTGCATTTTATATTGAAAAAAAAAACTGTAGTAATGGTATCGATTTTGTTCACAGGACAATCTTGGTACATTTTTAAGGTTAATCATCCTGTTTAAAATGACAGTAGCCACTATGTTTGCATGTATTAGGACCACTGGATTGAATGGTAGTGTTTGAAAACGAAATATAGCCTTTTCAATCCACAAGCATCATGGTATTTTTTTAATACAACTTAGTTATATAAGGTGAACATATTTACTATATTTCACAATACAGATTTAAGATTTTAGTGATATTTCCCAATCAACCCTCCCTACTGACCCTATTCTCCACGTAGCCTATTCTTCCCTATTTCTTTTGTTTAGATACTTAATTATTGCAGTGGCCTACTTTCATTTCACTTCTGGATCACAGCATATCAATACACAGCAAGCAGAACGGCATTTCTTTCAGAATAGCATTTATTTCACAAGAGTATAGGCAAACAGCCTTTTGCAAATTGAAAACTTCCTTTCCTTGGTGGCAATTGATTTTTGCCAATGTTAGTGAAATGTTAAAATTCAATTATCTAAATCTTAGAGCTACAATCTCTCTGTAACTCATCCATGATCTGAAAGCAATGGAGAACATTTATAGTGGTAATATTGACATTATTGAAATTACCAAGTTCCTTCCAATGCAGATGTTGCCAGAATTTTTACTTGCAAATAAAATCATCCAAAGAAAAGATTACATTAAATATTTAATTTGCAGAATGCAGAAATCCTTACTCAAAAATTATCCTCCAACGACACTTGTTGGCGAGGATGTGGGGAAAAGGGAACCCTACTCCACTGCTGGTGGAGCTGCAGGTTGGTACAGCCTTTATGGAAATCAGTCTGGAGAACACTCAAACAACTCAAAATCTGCATACCATATGACCCAGCAATAGCACTCCTAGGAATATATCCAAAACACCTGTTTCACGACAAACCAACATGCACCCCTATGTTCATAGCAGCACAATCAGTAATTGCAAAAACATGGAAGCAACCGAAATGCCCATCAGCAGAAGATTGGATAAGAAAGCTTTCGTTCATCTACTCCATGGAATACTACTCAGCTATTAAAAAAAAAACAAAATGCAGTTCTTTGTGGCTAAATGGGCCCAACTGGAAACTATAATGCTAAGGGAAATGAGCGAATCCCAAAAGATTAGATACCACATGTTTGCCTTGATTTAACCTGTAATTTTTGTTTGGTTGTTTGTTACTTTTTGAACCTGTCATTGATACTGTCTCAACCCAGGTGTTTTGAAGAATTGAACTTGCATTATTTTTAACATATTGTTTACTCAATACTATGTCAATTAATTCCATAACATTGTGTATTGATGCTGAGGTTTTGTTGGGGCTTTTAACTGACCGGAACTTTACTCTGTTAGCTTTACCTTCAGACCAGAGAAAGTCTCCCCAAGAAGCCACTGAACTTATCTGGACAATAAGATGCTGGACTTTATGCTAGGTATATGCTTGCAATGAAGGAATCTCAACTGAACTTGAACTGTGGTGATGCAGCAAGGGGGAGGAATCCACTATGGGGGGAGGGTTGTAGGAGGGGTGGGGGGAATCCCAGTGCCTATAAAACTGTATCACATAATACCATGTTAATAACAATTAAAACAAATAAATAAAACTTAAAAAAAAATAATGTGGAGAAAAACGTACTGGAAAACACTGTACAAACACAATGGCAGCCAGTATAAAGATTCTTCAGTAATCTAAAACTTGATCTACTGTATGACTTCAGCAGTATCTCTCTAAATTTATGCTAAGGATATGAAACCAGCATTTTAAAGATTTAACTGTATCCCCAGGTATATAGCAGCCAAATCCTCAATATCTAAGAAATGGAATTAATGCAGATGTCCATCAACTGATAAGTAGATAAAGAAAATATGAGATTACATATATATATTACATCATATATGTAAAATACATATAATACATATATACAATGAAAATATACTCAGTCATAAAAGAGAATGAGAATGAAATTTTGGCTTTTGTTTGTTTTTCCATAAGATGAATGCAACTGGAACCTACTATGCTTAGTGAAATAAATAAATCCCAAAATAAAAAAAAATCAAGAATTAGGATATCCCACAAAATATCTTGGTTCTGCTCCCAGACATTAGAAGAGAAAATGAGTGAGCAAATTTTGTTTCTAGACATAATTACATACGAGGAAAGTAGTATAGGAAAGATGTTCATCAGTGTATAACTTTACAATCACCACTTGATTACCTATCGATTTCCTGTCTCATCTTCAGAATTATATAGAGAGCTTTAAGGATATATAGAATAATTCAGACTTGATACTATACACTTCAGAGTTCACAGGATATGGAATTAGTATTTATTTTAGTGTAAACATTTTTAAAGTCCATGTATAATTTTTTTCATAACACACATTTCCCATGAATTTTTTGAAAACCCTCATATAAGCATTTTAAATTTTTCACAAAAATAAATTTATTTCATTGTATTTTCCATGAATTTTAAAATTTTTTCATATTTTAATAAAAAATAGAATAAAGACTATGAACTAGAACATAGTGAAATGGTATTTCTGGTTGAACAATGTATTACTCAGCTGCCAAAATCAGGGTTTTAATAACTGGTTAAGTTTATTAGTTTTTACATTTCTCTTACTATAGCTAAAACAAAAGCTTAATTTTTAAAATTCAGTCTATATTTCTCATTAAGTTAAAATATTACTGAGGTATCTTCAAGTACTACCCTACTATTTTACTATAGGTATGAAGGAAACACAAATTCCAAATGTAACAAACAGCCTTAGAAAAAAGTAATATGCCTATGAGACACACACATATACAAAAATATATCTAACTGATCAAAAAAGGAGGGAGAATGTACAAATCAATAGGATCAGACATGAAAAAGAAAATACAACAGATACCTCAGACATCCATAGAATTATTAGGAACTGTTAAAAGCAACTATATGCCAACAAATCAGAAGACTTAGAAGAAAAAAATGGATAGATTTTTGGACACATAGAATCTACAGAAATTGGGGCATGGCAGTGTGGCCTAGTGGCTAAAGTCCTCGCCTTGAACGCGCCACGATCCCATATGGGCGCCGGTTCTAATCCTGGCAGCTCCACTTCCCATCCAGCTCCCTGCTTGTGGCCTGGGAAAGCAGTGGAGTATGGCCCAAAGCCTTGGGACCCTGCACCGACATGGGAGATCTGAAGAAGCTCCTGGCTCCTGGCTCCTGGCTTCTGGCCAGATCGGCAGCATAGCATCAGCCTTTGCAGTCACTTGGGGAGTGAATCTTCGGACGGAAGATCTTCCTCTCTGTCTCTCCTCCTCTCTGTATATCTGATTTTGTAATAAAAATAAATAAATCTTTTAAAAAAAGAATCTACAGAAATTGAATCATGAGTCAACTAATAATCTAAATAGACCTACAACAAGAACTAAGATGAAAACAGTAATTAAATGCTTCCCAACCAAGAAAAGCCCTGGAGAAGATGGGGTTCACTGCAGAGTTCTACCAAATGTTTCAAGAACTTGCCCCTAAACTACACAAGTTATTCCAAACAACAGAAAGGGAGGCAATCCTCCCGAACTTATTTTAGGAAGCCAATATCGCCTTAAAACTAAAACCAGATGGAGACACAAGAGGAAGAGAGTATTACACACCAATATCCCTGATTAGCACGGACACAAAGATCCTCAACAAAATACTAGCCAACAGGATCCCACAGTACATCAGGCAGATCATTTACCCAGACCAAACTGGATTTACACTGGCAAGCAGGGGTAGTTTAACATTTGCGCATCAATAAATGTGACTTACCACATGAACAAATTGAAAAACAAAAACCACATGATTATCTTAATGGATTCAGAGAAGGCATTTGATAAAATCCAACACCACTTCATGCTAAAAATGTTAAGCAAGATAGGCATAGAAGGAATATTCTATAACACTATCAAAGCAATAAACGAGAAACCCATCATACTAATCCAATCATATTGAATAGGGGAAAACTGGAAGCTATTCCACTAAGATCTAAAACTAGACAAGGATGTCCACTCTCAACCCTGTATTTTATATAGCATTAGAAGTCCTTGTCAGAGCTATCAGGCAAGAACAACAAATTAAAGAAGTTCAAATTGGAACTGAGGAACAAAAATTATCCCTGTTTATAGATGAAATGATTCTGCACTTAGGAGAATCAAAAGATACAATCAAGAGGTTACTGGAACTCAAAAGAGAATTTAGCAGGCTAGCAAGATACAAAATTAATGAGCATAAATCAATGGCAGTAGTATATACAAATATCTCCATGGCTGAGAAAGAAATTGTAAGTACTGTCCCCTTTAAAATAGTGGAGAGTAATCTCAATATCTTGGAATGAACCTAACCAAAGATGTGGAAGACCTCTATAATGAAAATTACAGAACATTAAAAATGAAATAGAAGAAGACATTAAAAGATGGAGAAACGTACTATATTTTAGGATCAGCAGGATCAACATCATTAAAATGTCCGTATTACAAAAAGTGATATACAGATTTAATATGACCCCAATCAAAATTCAAACATTTTCCTCAGTAATAGAAAAGAATATACAAAAGTCCATCTGGAAACACAAGAGACAACAAATAGACAAAGCTATCCTGAAAAAAATAAAAATCAAGCTAGAGGAATTACAATTGCAGACAAAATACACTACAGGG